TACTTAATAAATAACTTGAAATAACATCATGACAAGTTAGCGAATCGGAAAAAGCTTATTAAGAGGTCAAATTTAACCATCTTTACATAGAAACATTACATTTATGTCAGAACATTAGCAAAAGTTATACAAAAACAATTAGATATCAAGTGGAAATTGAAAATAAAAGATGATCCGTAAATCACTTTTCTCTATTAGATGGTAATGGCTATATTGTTAGACGATATAATGATAATGACTATGAAAACTATTACAAAACACAAAATTTCGATTTGGTTAATATTCTACTTGATATTTTCAATAGTATACAATAAAAGAATTCATATATAAATGTCTAATTAATAACAGTATTGTATACTTATTTACTTACGCCTGTAATCCCTCGTCGACGAACATAGGCCGCCCATCAACATTCTCCATCTAACTCTGTCCTGGGCAATTCTTTCGATTCGTTATTCATCCTTTTCATGTCTGCTTCCAATTCCCGACGTAGTGTGTATTCTTCGGCCTCACTCTTTTCTGTTTCCCTTCAGGATTCCAAATTAGGATTTGTCTCGTGATACAGTTTGATGATTTCCGTAATGTATGTCCTATCCACTTCCAATGTCTTCTCGCAATTTTTTCTTCAGCTCGAAACTAGTTTGTCCTCTCCAAAAGTAGGCTATTGATGATGGTTTATGACAAACGGATATTGAATATCTTGTGTAGACAACTGTTTATAAATACTTGTACCTTTTTGGTGTTGGTTGTAATAGTTCTCTAAGTTTCAGCTCCGTACAGTAGGACTGTTTTGATGTTCGTATTGAAGATTGACAGTTGTTCTGAGTTCCAATAATCTTGTATGACAATAATTACTAAAAATCTTTAACTCTAATCATTAGAGTTCTATAACTGTATCTAACTGAAACATTTTCCGATGTTCAACTAATTTAATCAGGAACTTTTCATTGTTAAAACTACGATATATACAAGAAAAATTAAAGTACCGTCATTTGATCACACAATAAATATTCAATTTTTTCTGAATGAATTCACATTTCAATCAAAAAGTGATATAACGTTGAGAATTCATTTTTGAATGATATCAAATATCTTATATAGATGTATGTATATATCGATGGATACAATGTTCAGAGAAACATTTTGCATTTCTCAGAAAGCAAATAACACTTTCATATTGAATATGAGTTTTTTTTTTAATTTGTGATTTAATTAAGTAATATTCTTTTATACAGTCTCCGTGTTTATGGCTGGGACCACAACCACCACCACCAATAATAATAATAATAATAATAATAATAATAATAATAGCAATAATAATAAACTAACAAACATCAACATTGTTAGACGGTGGGAACAATGAAATCAAGTAATTGGGTTGCTTTTTTATTTTATCAAAAAAAAATCGTTCTGTGGTAATTTCACATAATCCTCGTCATTAGTTCTCTTTTTACAGATTTGTTATTGTCCTATTGTTTGCCAAACAAAAATAAACATCAATAAATTATAAATGGGTTAAGCAGTTTTAAAGTAAAACTGTTTTAGTGATCTGGTTATTGATATTTATTCATTATAATAGTTTTACACTATAGATGCATTATTACATGACCTACTATTTTTTTTTCTAGGTATATATTACTTGTGATTACTCATTCAGCTTTATTCTATCTTTCAGAGAGGTAGGATTTTTTATGTTCTATCGATAGAGTCACAATGCAAGTGCTCACATGAAATCCTGAAGGCCAAAGGTGAAGAGGAAGATCAAAGGACACATTAAGCCGAGAAATGGAGACAGACATGAGAAGAATAAACAACGATTGGATGGAAGTAATAAGAAAGGCTGAGGACAGAGTGGGTTGGGGAGTGTTGATCAGCAGCTTGTACTCCACTCGGGGTAACAGGCATAAATATGTAAGTAAAATAGTGTAAAATCAATCCAGTAATCAAACTGATTAATTTTATTGTCAGTGGTGTAGTAAGCTTCACAGAATTTATTCATAATTTGTTCAATGTTCACAGACAATGCTGAATATTGTTTTATATCTTGGTAATATCCAGTAACATAGATATGAATAAGTAAATTTATAGTGACTTTCTACAATAGACAAATGAACATCATCAGTTGTGTTATAAAAATGAATTATCTTTTACGCAAGGATAAAGTTTATCTCTATATAAATTATTAGTTTTTGGTTAGCGTTTTTTAAGCGAGTTAGTTTTCTAAGAGATGGGGTCACCAACCCCATGCCCAACCCTCCTCCTTTAATCAGCTCCTTTAACAAAGTTGAAAGTAAAGTGTAATGCCATCCTCTTTCTAGATATCCTACTGACGAAAAGACATAACAGGGTAATAAAAAGAAATGTTAATAGTGAATTGACTATGCTAAAACAAGGAACATATTTTTTAATTGCAATATTTAGAAAATTTATTTAAATTTATGGTCCGCAGAGTTAAAGTTTTCGCTCTGATGATACTTGTGAGAAGGAACTTAGATCCATTCATGACGTACCATGCGAAAACGGACAATCACCAAAGTTTCTAATGAAACATTCGTTGTTAAGTAAGTCTAATAGTTCACAAATTTACCAAAAAGTTATTTTTGATGAAAATACAGTTCACTGGGGATATAGCAAGTGAAATAAGAAACGGATATTTAGAGCTGCAAAATTACCTCATTCTTTCTTTAGCCAGCTAACAGTGAATTCGAGAAATAATGATAAACTGCTTAGTTCTTATGCCTCTCTGCTTACCTACCATCTTAATTACTCCTACGGAGTCAAATACAATTGGACATACAACTAGACAATTACTTCATCGAACTTCTGAACATCATTCTGTATGAAACAAAATAAAACAATATGAAGCTGTGATGTGGGACATTTAGTCATTACCGCTCATTCTATCGACATATATTCAACTTTCAAGGTTATTCTTAGTATTCCGTCTAATCTGCCTCATGCTTCTGGAATTCGTCCCTTATCTACTGCAGAAGCCATAAGAATATGAATACATATATATCAATAAACGTAGTACTTTTCTATAAAAAAAACGTTTGTACAGAATCTTCACTTACCCTGGTCTTTTAATTACTTACAGTTACATATATTTTTTTATATTCCATTTTCATTTCTAATTTCTATTTTACGTAAGCTGTATTAGTCATTAAAATAGCTAACTTTCTTTACACTGGTTTTATAACGTACTTACTATCAATTTTACAAGTAATACTAAGTATTTAGATTAAATTTCAAAATTACTCGATTCTTATTAGTATTCCTGCGTAACCAACCATATGTATTATTTTGCTTTATTTTTCTCTTGATTTTAACTTTTTATCCATTATGTTACTAATAACTGGTTACTACCATCCTAGAAAATATTGAGGCTGATGGAGTTTTGTTCTATGGGCTGAATGGTTTGGTCTGACCAAACCATTCAGCCCATAGAACAGAACTCCAACAAAATCATCCACCTCAGCTACAAATCTTCTCCACCATCTCAAAATCTTGTAGCCCATTATTCAATTGATGTAGTATCGTTTAACTGGTATTGAGTTTATACATAGTTCATAAAGTATATATTAGCGTAAAACCTTGACGAGAAATCAATTAAAAAGAAATATTCTTTTGCTCAATTTGTATTTGATAAAGTTTGTAATGCCACAGTACTGCTTAGTGTATGGTGTTTTAAATGTAATTTATGGTTCATGCACTTTGACACTGTCGATGTGACGTTACGTAATATTGATCATTCTGTTTAATGTTTACTTAATATTTTTCATTCCTACAGATTTCGCTACGATGAATTAATCATATTATAACACGAAACAATAAGTGATGTAGTAATAGCTTATGTAGCACAACCTACCATATATCTTTTAATGATTATAGGGTCATGAAAATCGATCAAAGTAGCTGCCAATGCACAAAAACGTAAATAACAATAGAATTATAGGCCTATAGTAACCTATAGTAATGGTGTCGCAATATATGCGCTGATACATAATGATAAAGCAAAGTTGGACATAAACAATATAAACAGGAAGAAGTGGAAATATATACAGAGTTACTGATTATTGATTAGACATACGATAAAGGTTAACTGTTTAATAGATTTCAAAAAGTTTACTACCAAAAAATGCGGATACATTATCATCACAAGGAATTTATAATTCCTGGTACATCTAAGAATAATCAAGAACGAACAATATTGTTCCAGATATTATCCAGGTATGTTAAAATCCAATCTCTGTCAGATGTGTGAAATCAGTTTATAAAAAGCTATCGTCCTACGTTATGTGGTTGTGGACATTTCTAAGTAAGGAATATCAGAAATCTTAAAGGAACTGATACCACTACTATCCAGCTATCCTAATCCACTACATTATTACATATCATTTAAGCCGTTACTGTCAAGCTATTTAAACTCACGTATTGTCTGGTTAATTAGTTTTCATTGACTGATCATTTTTGAGGGTATTAATGTAGTGGAGAAACATTATATATATATAAATAATCTCATAACGTTAAGAGCACCTCATTTCTATTGATTAACGTTGATGACGTGGGAAGAAATTGAATTAACCATCAAGGAAAAATCTAAGTCGTTGCCATAAGATAATCTATTTGCAATCTAACGCCTGAGAGAGTACCAAATGGGGAATGTTGATCACTAAATTTATTTTTGATTAACTTTCTGGTAAATGATCATAAACAAGTAAAAAAAAACATTTAGAGTAGATATTTATTACCTTACTCAGTACGAATTACAATTGTTGAAAGGAAAATGCTGATAGCTAAAGTGATATACTTAACAGTTATCACATTTTCATGTGAATAAAATGCTAGCAGAAATAGAATTCCGATAATTATTAAATATCCAAAAGGAGTTTATGTGATAGATCTAAACTACTCATAAGTAGCTAACGTTTATAGAGGAAAAAATGTAAACGTGTTTGTCAAATAATATATATTGAAAACTGCAGAACATTTATAACCATTTACGATGATGAACATTTTTTCCCTTCAGGTAAAGAATTTGGTAATAATTTGGAAAGACGCTTATTTTTTTGACGTTGGTTGCAAAACCATACACGTATTACGCTTTTTGGCATATTCAATCGCAAAGCTAATTGATTCATTTGATCTGAGGTTGGTCTACAGTTAATTGCGTTAAAAAACGATTCAAGAATATATTTTTCTCTACCCATGATACACGTACGTTTACGACGTTGATTACTTACAGAATCTTTTAATGGAGCAAATGGTGAGAAAACTGGAGAGTTAGTTGAAGAGTCTGAGGAATTCTTGAATGAGTCCGTGGAATCAGTATGTGTACGATTAAAATAGTTATGTGATTCCTGGAGGCGATGTTCTTGTTTTGCCCATAAACCACCCTCTACTTGTTGTAACCATATTTCTAAAACAGGCTTTAAAGCAAGCATGTTTTTATGTGATAATGACAAGGATTCAAATCGACATATTGTCGACTGTGATAAACAACCGAAACCACTTAAATTTAGTGCACCCAATGCACGTCCTACTTCAGCTTGTGTTACGCCAAGTTTTATTCTTTTTTCTTTAAACATATCAACAAATTCAGCTAAAGCGTCTGACTTTCCTACTGACTGAACAGTTTCTGTTGTTGTTATGGTACAATCTGAATTGTCATGATAACTATTTATTGAGGATAAAAATGACCATTTATCCCATATAGAAGATGACATATCACACTGGCACTGATGATGATGGTCACTTATAAACAGATTTAAGTCTGATGGTTTATCAGGTGAATTGTTATCATTATTGTTGCATTTTAAATTGGATGATATAAATGGATCAGGTATCCCACAACTGTTAATTCCAATTTCGAAAATTGGTGAACGGAAATTAAAAATCTCATTATTTTGAAAAATATTTCTTGATGGCTGTTTTATACGATTGAAAGGATGTTTATAAGAAGAGTAATATTTAGTTTCTGGCTTAGAATCATCATTTCTTGGATGAATTATTATCGTTTCAGTGTCATTAAACTTCAATGTACTTAGTTGAAACGTTGAATTTTGTTCATTTTTCCAATCGGTTGAACAATTCAGGTTGTTTATATTTAATAACGATGAATTGTGATTCATTTTATACATACTGCATAAAATTTTCTGATCAGTATTTTTTTGGATCCATAGATTGGTTGATCATACACTTGATGAAGAATCAATAATAAGCTTATGACATTATTTAAGTTGCACTTTTTGTATAGGGTAAATTACATTCAGATTTACTAATCATATGTATGAAAATCTGGAAAGAAATGCTCAAACATTGAAATAGACGATTACTATCGATACATTTATGAATTATTATTATTATTATCCATTTCGAAGGTCAGTTCATTGAATGGCTTTCTCAGTCGGGATTCTGAAGCATAATGATCATAATAAAATCAATGGTTGTAAATTATTTGTTTCGAAGTATATGCGTTAACTAAAGAGACATCAAATGTTGAGACAAAATTTTTTGAATAGATGTAGAGATAATAATGTACGAAATAGACAAAGTTTAGTGTTCTCCTTTTTAATTAGAATACTCTAGTTTTTCATGTTTCAAATCATCCTATAAAAAATACAGCAAAAAAATGTACATTTTCATTATATTAGTTATATGATGTATGTTTCTCATAAATGATAAACATATTTTATGGTATTGGATCAGTTTATTACTAACAAAGAAGAAACATCAAAAGGGTTTTTGTAGATATTGTAGTAATTTTAATGGTTAAGATCATGAGTCAATTGAAACTAGACCACCATGGAAATCCTGGAGGTACTGTACGTCCGTTTCGTCCCATTGTGGGACTCCTCAGCAGTGTGTATCCACGATCCCGCCTTGTGAGATTCGAACCCATGACCTGTCGGTCTCTCGCGTGAACGCTTAACCTCTAGACCACTAAACCGGTATCCAACGGTGGTTAAGCACTCGCACGCGAGACTGATAGGTTCTGCGTTCGAATCTCGCGAGCTGGGATCGTGGATACACACTGCTAAGGAGTCCCACGATGGGACGAAATGGTCTTCCAGTGCTTCCAGGTTTTCCGTGGTGGTCAAGCTTCAATTGACTGATGATCTTAACCATTGAAAGAAGGAAAACTCATCAATATCTATTTCTGTGTGATAGTTAATATTACCTACTAATTTTCAAAATGTTTTTAAACATTGTTGTGTTAAAACAAATTGTTCTTATCTAATAGAACTCAGAGAACATTAGACAATAATTTCATCCTTTTGTAGGGTTTTTTAGATGTGTAGACCCAGGATATCACCAGGGATGAAAACTAGAACATTCAGGCCTCGAAATTTATTTAGCTAATATCAGTCCATGAACAATCGTTTCAAATTTCTAATTATGATAAACGGTTAATTAAAGATGAAGATGGAATACACGACAGTTTATGATCTGTTAATTTTACCTGTCATAATGGATATCAACCGTGTAATAAAATTTTTTTCCTTTCACACTTTCATATTCAGTAAATTTAAAAATGCCTGAATGATGTGATATACACATTTACTCATAGGAAATTAGAGAATACTTTAAAATTGACCTTCAAAATGATCAGAAATCCCTTCTATTCAATAACATTATGTATCGTTAAACGATTCTTATAAGTCATCTTATTGAGCATCACTTTGAGTATCCCTTAAAAAATTGTATAGTAACAAATAAAAGCGTAGGATATAAACATCATCATAATCCGTTTTTTTTATGGTTAGCTTAATCAACACACCATACGAACAGACAGACACTAGATTTGCTTTTTTCAGTTCATAATATAAAAACCAACATTTCCATAGATGAAAGAAATTCATCTTAACCTATTGTAGCCAGTTACATAATTCTGTTCACCATTTTTCCCACATTTCAAGGCTTTTCTATAGTCTTTTGTATTTATTTATTTTGGTTCTATCAAACCATTTTTTTTTGATTTTCACAATCTCATTTTATCCATTATCTATTATGAAGTTATGTAATTGAAATCACAGATTAATACTGGTTAAACAACTTTTGAAAATCAAGAATTACTGAAGAGCTGTTTCGTTCTGTTGTGAGATTTTTTAGCGGAGCGTACGTACAATTCAGGACTGTCAGGTCTAGCAATGAATACTCAACATTTAAACCAGTGAGTTCAATGGTTTACACTTCTAAAATTAAACTATTCGTAATTTTGTACAAATATCATTTATCAATGACATTTGATAATGACAACAGGATAACAAAAATCGATATTCTATTATGTGTATACAGATAAACCATACTTATAAGTTCACATTTTTATATTTATAGTATTGATTAACATTTATCCAGATTTTATTAAATGAAAGGTTTAAAGATTTAGAGTGAGAGTTGGGAATGTATACAGTAAAAAATATACTTTATCTCAGGTCTTTGGAATCGTTAGTAAAGATCTTGAATCAAAATGCATCTCCCTGCATACTCACTCAAGCCACTGAATCGCCTGGTGACAATATGTTGCAGTATATTGAGAGAAATGACTCGACTTAAGTTTTTTTGAAAAATGGAATTTGAATGGACATAGCATGTTGAACTAAATTCAAAATATTCAGCAATTAAACAGTAATAGTTCACATATACGAAATCATTTATGTTTTCCATTTCATTATATATGAGAACTGTGTGTTATCGGTCACTATTGGCATATCAAAACCCTGAAAAGACTGACTCCGTAATACTTTCAGCAATAAGTTAAGAAAAAACAACTGGATTATGGCTATTAAAATTTAGTAGATCAGTGAAAAACACGAAAAGTACTGAGTTCAAGTCATTGAGTAAATATTATACATTAGGACCCAAGTACAGCTAAACAGAACGAAACATACATCATGAATCCTATAACTAGTCACAATTCAATTTCATTGATATCATTTAAGTTTTAAATTCACTTGGTGTTGTTTTACTTGTATCTTCCCATTGTTATTTGTGACTGCAACTGATCAGTCTCATGTTGGCATATGTACATCTTGTATTGGATCGCCTCGATATAGCCTTAAGTCAAAGGCTTTTTAAGCAAAGATAGATAGTGGCTATCAGTAGAATCCAGGATTTGCGCTTTGTCCTTTTTGGGACTCGTCAGCTGGATGTACCTGCACCCCAGAGTCGATGTTCACTCCGGAACTCGGACCCAGTACCGTTTGCTTCGTTTTGTTTTATAAAATATAAAATCACTTACCGTTAAACTAAATATGTAATAATTTCTCTCTTATATTTTAAAGGAATACAAGTTAATATAAAGATTTTTCTATTCATATCTATTCAATTACTTGTTATGAACAATGAAAGGATTAATTATAAACCAATCAAAAATAATAATTAGAATTTATGAACAGTATAAGTAAATAAAATTATTAACCAATTAATTTGTTTGCTTTTTTTATAAGGACATATACATGACTTTAATTAAATTAACCTCGATAGCTTTCAAGTAAGATTTAATTACTATTCGACACAGATTAGCTCCACTGGTCACGACTTCTCACAAGAACTCCGAGAATTTTCTCACGTAGCTCACTAGTGAGCACATTAGAATTATCAGTTTAGGTGTTGTGGAGATTGTCGATTTTTTTGATTGAGTTCATGAACCGATTGATGTTAGACCAACATTGAAAACCTGGAAGCACTGGACGACCGTTTCGCCCTAATGTGGGACTCCTCAGCAGTGTGCATCCACGATCCCGCTCGCGGGCTTCGAACCCAGGGCCTTCAGTCTCGCGCGCGAACGCTTAACCTACTGGACCACTGAGCCGGATTCCGACGGTGCTAATGTCTAACCTCAACCAATCCATGATGTTGCGCGACCATCTTCCATTGTACTGAAGTAGACATCTGTTTCTACCCGACACGGATTAGCATTAATATTATTATTACTACTACTACTGTTATTATTATTATCATTACCATTATGATTCTTATTGATATTATTATTATTACTACTATTATTATGACTATGATTATTATTATCATTATCATTAATATTATTATTATTACTACTACTATTATTATTATTATTATTATTATTATTATTATTGTAATAACAATAATGATCATATTCGTAGAATTCAGGTTATCTTAAAATTTATTTCTCACAATTTTTCTACAGTTTTAGTTATATAAGTGGATTTCTTCTTCCTGTATATATGTGTATCTTAAAGCATAAATTAATAAATTAAATGTTACTAGTAAGGGTTTGCATTCACCCATCATATACTTATATATTCTTTAGTGGCCCGGGATCTGACTCCAATTAGATCGTATGAATTTTCTCTGTCGAAATATATATCCTGACTATTCTCGTATATAATTATCAACTTAGATCGCGTTAGTGAACAACGAGGCGAGACTATAATTTATGGACGAACCAAACAGATATAAGATAACGAGTCACAAATTTCGGTGCGAAATTCATTCATATATTTGGCTAAATAGAATTTTGGCATTATAGCTGATGTCAGTTCGTGATGAAAACCCGAAATCTAATTTTTAAACCTAACCATCAACTATAAATGAGAATTCTAACCGCTTTATAACCCTCATTTGGTCCTAATCAGTAGGTGTCCACCCTCAAGGTCACTTCAACGTTGCTCAAAGTTCGTCCATAAATTATAGTCTCACCAATAATGGAATTAAATCAGTCAAATACGAGAATGGATTTCTGAATGCGTATATTTCGTGCACTCATTGATCTGGACAAAAAATCAGAGAGATGAAGATAATAGAAGAGATCGGAGGTGGAATGGCGCGCAGTGGAGAAGACATGTGGACCAACTCCATTTAACTAAGTGTTAATCAATATTTATAGTCACACAAAAATAAGCTACAGACATGGGGTTAGTAGGATAAGATGTACACACAAATATATACGCTCATATATAAACAATCAAGATTGATGAGTGAATAATTAACGTTGTCAAAATGTGACTTAAGAATGAATAGATTGGCCTGTTCAGAAGCTGGAATAATTTATATGGGCTTAACATAATAACCGACACTACAATTCAACAATAGATTACGAATCCTGTGAGAATTGACTTGATACAACTATGTTGTAAATTCTATTGACAGTTCTCGAATAGAACGGAGTGCCCTTTCTGGATTTCAACGATAGCTACAAATTAAGAAATCTTAAAAATGGTTGTAAAATGATTACATTGAGATAGCTCAGTCAGGTAGCGTACCTTCCAATAAAGACTGATAAAAATTCAGTATAAAATCTCAACAATGAGATAATACGAAAGCATTTCTAATATTATAAAATATCATACTTGTTGAACAAGTCAGTGGTTATTTAGACTCGGTAGACCAGTGAATAACAAATTGGGATTTGAAGCGAAAGGTACTGGGTTCAAATATCAATGTGAAATACTTATTTACAAAGTGCAGAAAGGATAATAATATGAACTGATTTTATTAACTTAAAGCTTTTCATTTTAATGTATAGTACCATTGTCTATTATAAGTAATAGTGCATAAACACTATCTTGTAATTAATATACATATTATCAAGATTAATTAATACTACCCTCTACCATTTAGGGAATGACTGTGTTTAAAGTATGGTTTTTTATTAAGTATGCTATGTGGTCAGTCATCTCAAGTATATTATTGTATTCCTTTTGAGTCACGATGGAATTGAGTACAATGGAGAATATATTATCCCTGCCTGTGTCTTCTGATTGCTCATTGGGTTAGAAGAGCCTCGGGGACTAATAAGTTATAGGCGCTGGGTATGGTTCATTGATCAATGTGTTAATTCGTTCAATGGAAGGCTACTACTCCTACTGGCCATATAAGTGAATTAATCTATAGTCTTAATTGGCCAATCAGTATCTCAAGTAACAAATTAGCTATAACAAGACAACAATTGAAGAGGTACTATGAAAGTATTATGGTTTACAAACCTCGGGAGCTAACCGTTTTTGTCCCTTTACTCTTTCCCGCTCATAACCTATTCAATTTCGCCGTAAATTAGAGGGGTGATTTTAGTCATTCAGGGCTGTTGGTGATCAGTAAGCAGAGTTATGGAAGCAGGCCACTTGAAACGTCTCTCAAAATACTCATGATTTTAGTATCCCAGTTTAATAATGGATTGTTGTGACAACAACTAACATTTTAAGCTGTTTCATTAACGAAGTCAAATGACTGTCAATTGTTATGTATAGCCTTTACCATTTTACTTATTTAATTTTCTTTATCCATTGTTGTTTACAAACATTCCGTAGACGTTTTGCCAGTTTCTTTTTACTTTAGCTTTATTAACATATTCAAAACCGTTTTAGGTTAAGCTGCTGATAGTCCACTTTAATGAACATCACTTAGTTTTATCATCTGTAACAAACAACTTGTTTTGTACTTAATCTTCATGTTAGATTAAGTCATTGAACATAATCAATATAAAGTTTAACTTGAAACATACAGATTAAACATGTGTAAACAGTACTGTGACTTTTTCTATTGAACATTCGAATATCGAATCTTACATGCACTTTGGCTTATGAACATAAAAAAAATTTTTTAATACACGTATAATCAAGTTGTGCTCATTGATTTATTTAGTTGTTCAAATAAATCTATAATTAATTTATTACATAGAGATTAAATGTGAACAATTGGTAAGGTTACAACTTGGTTGCCAGTTATTGTTGACGTAAGAGAGAAATCATAGTTTGTTATTGATAATCACCGGTGTTAGAGATAAGTTGTATGTGTCTAACTGTATTCTGATACAACACATATTGCTTGTTGACGTAGGAATAGATTTAAGGAACACTAGAGGTAGTAAAATCAAGAATTGGGGTTAATCCATAGTTACTGACTGCTGGTCTAAGTCTTGTCGGTACGTGCGAATCGCTTGGTCGGGGTCAACATGATAGTCGTAATCAATAGTTGAAAAAATTGGACGATATAATTTCAAATAGGTTGGAGTTGAGTAAATGTAGTTATTCGTTTTCTTCCCCCGAATCTTAATTTTTAATTTTATTTCATACTAATATTTAGTTAATTTTTCCCATCTTTTAAAACACAATTCTCTGCGTTTAACCTCCTAACTATTATCTTCCAGCTCTCCACTATTCATCTTGTTAATCTAATTTCCCTATGTTGATATTGTATGGCATATGTATACTAGCTTATACGTTGTTTATGACAGGATGACTAATAGTGAGCGTGTTTTGACTATCTTTTCAGGGGATTGTGGTATTCTGCAACCATTGGTGGATCAATTCAAGCTCTATAAGATAACTTAATTCTGCCCTAGCTGGGTGATAAGCCTACATAATTCCCTGAAATGCTTTTTTCCCTTTGGTTCACGATTTCTGAAACTTTTCAACCGATTATCTATCCACAGGCACTGAAATAAAGCCATAGATGCTACAATAATATAGTAATTTTCCGATATTGACGAGGTAAGATGACTGATGAGTTTAACCATGAAGGGGAATGTTGTAGTGCCTTAGTGCTTCCAATAAAGATAATAAATAATCAAGTCTGAGGGTTAAGATCACAATAAAGCAACTAAGCGTCTAATTAGTTTAGACTGAATTCCTACACGTATCATAAATCTCTCTGTAATCTTCTCTTAATAAAATCTAAGAGTAGAAAATTATCCCTCAATACTTATTTTATTATGGACTTTGTATGATGTTGACTGGTGTATATATAATCAACTAACTGTCTTATCTAGCGATCACTAGACGTTTGGTGTATATGATGGATTCAACCTCCGATTGACACTGACAACTACCTGTTTCAGTAATTGGTCTGGAAATAGACGAGCCTGATGGAAAATATTTGCCAAAGTGTAGTTTCCTATCAAATAAAAGAAAAACTATAACAGATGTGCCTATGAGCTCGGCCATTTTGCTAGCTAATACGAGTGAATGCACGTGTGATGTTAGAGGATATAATCGTTTTATCACTATCCATCTGAGTATGCAATTGATCTTCAGAATAATAATATCAGGGACTTGATAGAGCGTTTACACTCCTAATAATTACCAATTAGGACAACAAGCTATCCTATAGCATAAAAAAGCAAATTAATTAAAATAAACGTCGTAAAGGACTATTGAAAACATGTCAAATCAAAGTTTATGTTGCAACCCGTATATGAAGTTACCTACTAAGATAAAATAAGTATGACACATACTATGAATGAAGTCACTACTAGCTAGAAATGATAGACCATATATCCAAGTACCTTTCTGACGTCTTTTCGGTAGGAATGACTGAATTTCTCTCAGTTCAAAAGTAGTACCATAAAACAATGAAAATATAAACTGTTTGGTTGTTTTAACCACTGAGCGTTACGTACTGCATTACACAAACCTTTATTTACTGGATTCGCTAAATTCGAACGAGTCATAGAAATTTCAGTCAATTAATAGAAAATGTCTTGTGGAACTGTTAATGAACCTGGTGGATCATGGTATAAATTGATTGTCATTGGTTAACAGTTAGACAGTTTTATTCTTAATGTCCATAGTTCGGTTGTTAGATAAACATATATGTGAAGCATAAAATGTACCTTGTTAACTCAGTATTAGATTACGCTGTATTATATCTTTATCCTCCATCATGTCAGTCAGCTTGTAGTTGTGTCAAATAAACATGCGTCATTTCCACCGTATTCATCATGCATTCGGTCAGCCCAAATGTTAACAATAGCCACATGACTAGTATGTTCAGTTTTGCGAGAAACATTTGCTGTGTTGAGAAGTATTGAAGGCACTTAGCAGGGTGTGATGAATCTTTTGAAGTTATTATGAATATGGTTTTAGATAGATACTTAAAATCTTGAAAACTCCTGGCAAGTGTTGTCCTATCAGATACTAACTATCCAATTTATTCATATCTTTCTCATTATATATCTTCTACTCGTACGAGACCCCAATACATTAGAATCTATTTACTCAAGCAAAGATTTAAAAGCTCTACAATACCTTACCTTTCAAAACTACTCTGCAAAAAACAGGTTGTACAAGCTGACCTAGTCAATAACCTCAATTCTTAAACATGTTCCTAATTAAAATTTGTACAGATTACTTTATTTTATTTAAAAAACTTATCATTTAATTTCGAATAGTTGATTTATTTAACGTATATATGTATGCAGTCATCGACTGTTTTATCTTGTTTTGTAAAAAGAAACCTGTTGAAATACTTTGTGCTGAGAATTCCATATTGTACTTAACATATGATATTGAATGAAACCATTACTAGATAGGTAACTTTCAATTATCCCCTTCAATTGATGCCTGTTAAGATGGAAAGGTCCTGTTCAAATCAAACGTTTTCTACACAAGATTCTCTTAATTAAACTTTATATAATTAGCTGCAAAGTATCTAAAATATTAAAATACACTTCAAGGCACAAAAACAACTTGTACAAAACTGTAAACAAGATCAATATTAGTAGAGAAAATGACAGATTACAATGATGGAGCAAATAATAAAATGATGTAAGATAAAAAAATGCTAAATGTTCTTAGGTGTCAGGAAAGCATCCATTTATTTTTGAATATTCTTTGGAAGACTTATTTGGATGATATAGAAAACAGTATATTAATATTACGTTAGTAACTTCCTTCAGAAACATTTTAAGAATTAATGGAAGAAAGAAGTCACGAATGAAATTAACCAGGGATATGATCTTGGCCAAACTAAGAGATAACGGGATAGTGATTAAAATGGCCATATCATCTAACAAAACAGTTTGTCATAGGGTAAATTTTGAAAAACCTTCAATGTAGCAAATTATAGAAAATAAAAATAGAGTAAAGCATCAAAAGTTCGTTCATAAATAAATGTTTTCCTACTGACCAACTCCAATAAGGTGAGTCAAGGTTACAAAATTATCCACAAATAAATAGAACAAAACAACATACTGTTCAGAAATGGAACATAACGTAGTTCTGACTAAGAATAGTAAAACGAAAACATTAGAATAAGGAAGATGGGAATAAATAAATATCGATTAATATTCAATTTCTAGATGGATGATTTAAAATTTATTCGTTTTAAAGAAAATTTCCATCACACACTCAAACTAACGAGAATCAATGGAAAGAAAGGCGGGATTGTTGGGTGTCATACTCTTTATTGTTCAAGGGTTTCAGTCGATGTCCATTTATGAAGTTTATAGTTAAATGGGATCATTTTATTTAGAAGATAAAAAAAGTGGACGATGCGCCCATGTCACTGTAATCCATCACAAAAGAGAATATTAGAATTCGGTTCATCTGATAGGGAAAAGTACACAATTATGCAACAAATATATACATCAGAACACCCTTTAAAATGCTGATCGAATTATTTTACTTTCATATGACCAACCAGAGTGTTGAAGATCAAGCAATTGTTTAAGCATTTCTTGTAACCAATCTAAAGTAGTACAAGGTCGTTGAAGTATACTATATAAATGCTCTGTATCTAACATTTGTTTAGTATAAATAATAAATTTGTTTAAAAACTTATTTGTCATTTTCTTCGGTGAAGTTTTTTGAAATGTTAGTGGTATAGTATTAAATTTAGTGTATAAATCATTGTAAACAAGTTTTTGAAATTTACTTAATGACTTCAATTGGATTGGTTGACTACATTGACAATAGTGGATATTTTTTAATGATAACTTATTATCACTATCCAATAATGTTGTTACTGTACCAAAATTAATTAGACCAGAACATGTAAGGCATTTTAATTGGAAATCCTTATTACTATTAGTCATACTATTAGTAGTAATGAGAGGTGACCAATTCTCTATACATGCTTGACATATACAATGAAAATGATACTGCGATTGTAATGACCTTTGACGTTCATTAAGAGAATGTACTGCATAATGTAAACCATAATTTCCATAAATAATTTCATTTTGTTCAATAGGTCGGATTGAATAGATCGCACATTGAAATTTATCAATTGTTATATTGGTAATATTTGGATCGCATGAATGATTGATTAATGATAAAACTGGATATAAACAAGTAGATATTTCAGTTGATGTCAATCTGTTTAAATCTATACCAGGTATTTTATGTTTATCACTATTATTATTATTATGAACAGTTGTAGTATTTTCTGTAAAAATGTATTCAGGTAATGATAACGAATGACCATTTGATGAGATACATTGAAGATGATGTAATATGCATGTAGATGCCCAATCAAATGGTAGTAGTGTACAATTCGATTGATTATTATCATCAGCATCTCTGGTAATTGGATAACCACCGGCCTAAATAAATATAACAAGAAAAATGCTATTAGAATGAATATTAGTTAGGAAGATTTGTAAAGTCTGTTCAACTTCGAAGGTAAATTACATCATCGAAGAACTTTTAAAGGTGCTGTGTTCTATGAGTTATATGGTTTATTTTGGAACTGTTGTTGTTATTCTAGATATTATCAGCTCATATTTCGATTTCCGTAAAACATCTTTTCCAACGATAATAATCACACGCTCATTAGTGGAGGCTAATCACGTTAAGCATGATACATAAATCACCACAGATGAAAATACTGCGTAGACATCGCGCTATATCACAAATGGGTTAGGGACGTTAATCTGAGCGCAATGGCGGTGGTGTAAAAGCAACTAATTTGTGTTTGTGTTAATGAAACCCAGTTCAATTGGTGGGGGGACACAATGCAGTCACGTAATATTTACCAAGATGTAACAGTATTGGAAAGTTTATTAAAATATTGGGTGAAAGAAAACCACCTTATGCAAACACAGTTGAAAGTTATCAGCATACTTTAGAAAAAGATTTTGGATAAATCAAACTTCATCATAGTTTGGGAATTATTAGCATAGATTGTTTTAAGGGCCTGTACAAGCTTTTGAGTCGCCATTTTCCCAAATGTGCATTTATTGCTATAAATTTTCCTGTTTTACATTTGTTTCAATTAACTAATTATTTCTGTCAACCATTTGCATTTACGCAGTTTCATTAAGATGTTTACGAAAACCCTGCAGCGAATTTTCATCGATCTATGTCCTTTGGAGAAACGAGAGAAAATCATTACAGAATCCGCACATAAAATATATTGGGCGAAGAAAAATAATGTCATGAGACCAAGAATGGTCGTGAAAATCTAAAAATGAATAGTAGCTAATCAGACATCAAAACTTCATATACGTGTATTTCTGAATATTAACAAGGTAAATCCTTGCAAAACAAGAATCTTGTTGGAATTTCGCAAATTTTGTATCCAGATTTCTTTACTATAAAAACATATATGGTATTCAACAAAGCGAGCTGATATGGCGAGCAATAGCTTAATCGATCAGTGTGAAGGATATACGAAACTGATTTTTTTTTCAATCACAAGTGACACGTATACATATCTTAAGAATTACAAGTGCTTAATTGCATAATATGGCAAGTATTTACACAGTAAGTCATCAAATCATTACCGGTGAATACAACTTGATTCAGTTGTCACGTGCAATATCCGATATCAATACTGATACCTGATCACCCTAGATACGAGCCCAAACGGTCATTCAAACGAAAATGCTGAGAGTGAGAAATATGTTTATTGACCGAACCGTTATGAAACCCTATATACATTTAACGTTACTAACAATTTATGTCTCACTCTTTAGGAATGCATACCATTTTCTGACCAACCACGTAAGCACATTATCTGGTTGATTTGTGATTGGCCGATTGCAACACTGTATTTGAATTATCTTGAAAATCAGAGTGGAAAGTAGCTGATCATGAATCTTGGTTGACATTAGATGGACGGCTATTATGGTTCCCTACCACCCATTTCTTAGAAATTGTAGGGTGTGAAAGATAAATTTATTGATCGGTTATTGGTGTATTGGTTTTGCAAGTGTGTACTCAGTTGAAAATGAACAAAAATTTTGTCACCTTTAATAATTTTGTAATTGGTGGTAAACTGTTCATCTTAGCAATCTGATTGGTTGAAATCGAAATAGCATCAAGTGCTTTGATTGGATGTCAGAATTTGCATTTTTACATTTGATATGTAATAATAATAATTGTTTTTGTGTAGTATTAGTCTTGAAAAGAATTTAAGCTTTTGAAGAAAAATACCCCAATTTAAATTCACTACCGTGCAATGCTACTGTTAGTGAATGTGTATTGGGATATATTTTTGTTATCCGATCAAGTAGACCTTGAATGGAAGTTGTTAGTTATCTTGACACGATTAATTAAATGTATCTCATTAAAAGGAAGTATTTGGAAAAAGAAATGAAAACCGGTTTGAATATTTGATAATAGTGATTACTGAATTAGGTCGGTAGTCAAATGTTTAATACCCAACTAATAAAGAAATTATCACCTGTATCCATAACTTCTTTCTTAACACATGGTATGTTAATTTTTAAAAAAAATCCACATATCAATAGACCTTAATGATGAAATACTGATTAGGGCGTGTATAAAACAGTGGAAGGATTCGTAAACCTTCGGTTTATGAAGCGACTTTTACGTTATCTCAAAGAAGTAATAATTTCTGAGAAAGAGGCAATTAGTAATTATGATTGGGTTATTTATTAAATAGTAATTCTTAATACAAAATAGTTGTTTACTTTCACTTTATAAACGGTTTCGTTAATAAAACGTTAGATTTCAATAGGGTTATTTTGCTAAATCATTAAAAGCTTTAATTGCTTTTACCTGTACATTCTTTGTAGTTCAGCCTTTAAAATAATAATGAAAATGACTACTTGTGTGTTTAAGCAGTCATGTAAATTTTTTATTGGGCTTTGGAAGTGCGCGTTAGGTATTTTTCACGTTCTTTCAATAGCCCATTTTTTATAAGAGTTCAGTCTAGCAAAATGTTTACATGAGTTAGTAAATGTCATATGTCAACGACATTGCAAACGTTACTTATTTATAAGGTATGAAATGATATTTGATAATCATCAACTAATTTTTGGGAACATAATCGAGGAATAATAAAGAACTGTATGTACATTTTCGTCATGTGTGAATATTGTTCTTCGTAATATGAAAGTTGAAATATCTGTACATTATGAATATAAGCCATTTTTAACAAGCATTTGAAATATTGGTTGTATTAAGTGTAAATGAATAAGCCTACGTCGTCTGACGAAAATAATTTCTATTTGCATTATACAGATGAACATGAATTAGGTCAACAGTATACATTAACATTTAGGTATAATGACGTTTAATTTCATTGTAATAAGTAAATGTACCAATTCAACGTTAAGACGTACTTCTATGTACGCATAGTTCTGGCTTCCGCTACTTTTGATATAAAACAAGAATATCATATTCTTATTTTTGTAATCATGAAGCGGATAGCATGTTTATTTCTTTTTACACCTATATGACCTTTAATCACATCAATAATCTTATTATTATATTCACTTATAAATGAAATCCTCTATTCATTGACCTTACAACCAAATGACAATGTTCACTATTTCGATAATGTAATAAGAAGACGGAGATTATCAAAACTATGTGATATATTAGCGCAATACATTTCGAACAATCTGATCACACATATACTTGTTAAGAGCATTTATATATAAAAATAAAAGGTCAACTAGACTGGAAATGGGGTAAGAGGAGATGAGGATAATAATAAGAGTAATAATAATAATAATGATAATAATAATATTAATAATAATCTGAACACAATTCAAAACCTAATCACTCTAGATAATAAGTCAATATTACCAGGGTAGGTTTAAGGTAAGATCAAACTGTTTTTGAATACACAAAGGGGGTTTGAATTTTCGTATGGCTAAGGCTTCAATAAACCTTAGTATACGCCCTTTTACACTTTTATATAATACCACAAAAGCCGAGTTTAGATCAATCTTGTGCCCTGTTTCAATTATATGTTTAGCAATAGAGGATGATGGATGTTTATCCTCTGCTCTTATTGGTTCACTTGATTGTATTTGTTTTTGCAGCCATTTGGGTACATGTTCACTCACCCTAATGTTAAGATTACGATTGCTCCTCCCTATGTATGTGTGACCACACACACATTTAAATTGGTAAACACAGTGGGATGTGACACAATCGTTTTCATGTCTTTGAGGTTTTGAATGAAACATGCACCTTGTTCTTTCTTTGACAATGACCTTTGCTGCGCAGTACGTTTTGCTGATGACTGATTTAAGTCATTGTTTCAATAAGAGACTATTTGAATCACCTCTGAATGGTAAGGTGATGTAGACAGGCTGTTTTTCCACCGAGGCTACAGTAGGTCTCACTGTACCGTGGACTTTCCATCTATTTATGAATTTCAGGGGGTAACCATTTTCTATTAATGTTTTGTTTAACAACTTAACATCATCATCAATGGCGTCATTTGTACAAATGCGATCAAGCCTGTTGAAAAGACACCTTATCAAACCACGTTTGTATTGCACAGGGCAATAACTATTATTATCCAGAGTGATTAGGTTTTGAATTGTGTTCAGATTATTATTATTATTATTACTCTTATTATTATCCTCATCTCCTCTTACCCCATTTCCAGTTTAGTTGACCTTTTATTTTTATATATAAATGCTCTTAACAAGTATATGTGTGATCAGATTGTTCGAAATGTATTGCGCTAATATATCACATAGTTTTGATAATCTCCGTCTTCTTATTACATTATCGAAATTTATAAAAGGGACTAATTGTTTTAAATGTTCACTATACTGAAATATTCCTATTAAAATGTACTATTATTATTATAAATAGATTACAATTGTGTTACTAATACATGAACGGTAATCACATTATTTTAAATCTAAAATTATTAGATTAATGTTCATTAGATGAGATATTGTGTTCTATAAGATTTCTAAACTTTTATATCTCATAAACCTTATAAAAAAAGTTTACGAATACATGAGCAATAATCGCATTATGATTATTAATCTCAAATGAATATCTAAATTCATTATTAAGTGTTTCATCATTTGACCTTTGCCATAGAAACAAGAGATGGAAACGAAATAATTTAAATCAAATTGTGGGTGGCCCTGAATAGGGCCTTTACTCGTTCTCTTTTATTAATGCAGATGTAGCTGTATAAGGGCGTAACTATGAGTTGTTTATGGCGCCACACATCGGACAGTTTACTGCACGTACGTTTGGTGATGGGTTGTAAGCACAAAACCGATGAAACATTGCTGAACTGCATTGTTCCTCGGACAGTTGCCTGACTAAGGCATGCACCGAATTCCTGAGGCTTGGCTGTCTTAATTGCACTGGGAAGTAATTCTCAATCGCAATATGTGTTAGAGAAATCTCCGACTGTAACCACCTGTCACAAATTGACTGTACGTTCACATCAGTATTACTGTGTGCGCAGTAGGCCAAAATGTGACGACATGGCATTCCGTTTTCAATATTAAAACTACACGAACACTGAAAGGTATTGCGGTTGACTGTGTAAGTGCCAGTTGCGTCCACAGCCGTGAAGATATCAACAGACATCAACAGACGTATCAGTAGCACTAAATATAGATCTCAACACAGGTGTTTTTCGATTCAGCTTATGCCTCTTCAAAATTCCATGAGTTGTCTCAACGAAGTTGGTATTATCTTGTCGAAGTAGCGTTGCTGATGGTCGAAAAGCAGTAGACCATTTTTGTTTTCTCGGCAGTAAGTGGTCTCTTACATATCGAAAAAACGTTTCGTCGGATATTTCGATCAACGACAAATAACTGTTAAAACTACAAAATAATGTTATGAAGATTTTTATTTACCTTTCAACAGTCCGAGTGAACATCAGCCGAAAAAACAGTTGTATCACTTCTGATCGTACTCTCTACAATGACGGTAAATGGGTCAATGTTTTGACGCACATTCCCACGTACAACAGTCCAGTAACCTTCTGTAAACTTACAAAAGATGAAGGCCGGACAGGGAGTGTTCATGGAAGTCCTTCGTGAAAAAAAATGTAATAACACTAATCAATTTACCTCCTCCGTCTAATCGGCTGTGACGAACCGCTAGATCTTCTACGGCCAGTTCTCCAACATACAAATTTAATATAAGATTTCTGATCTCTGTCCAAATGAGAATCTCTCACCACATAATGACAGTACGTAGATCTTTCATAAGTTCTGATAGCCGACTTTAACGCTTCAACTGATTGGAACGCAACGAGAAACAATATAGTCAAAAATACATCCTCCGTTTCTGTGACAACGTGAGAAACAACAGCTCTTGCACATGGCACGTCACTCTCCTCCATTATGATGATGAAAATGTACTTTTTCGACGAGTGCTGACATTTTATAACACTTTCAAGACATAACTAACCAATTATAACGAACTTAAAACTAGCAATTTAATTGGACGAAACGTGGTGAAAAATTTTGGAAAATGGGATGAAAAAAACTTTTTTAAAGGGGTGAAAAAAAAATTTATCAAAAAAAAAATTTAAAAAAAGCCGGTCGCTGAATGTTATTCATGAATCGTAGAGCATAACAGTATTTGATCTTAATAATTTGTAAACAAAATCCGTAGTGGGTGGTTTCAAAAAACACTGACAACTTGTTACATGTCATAACCTCCTTAGATTAATTGCTATACATACTGGAAGGCATCCGATTTCGACAAAAACGCATATCTGAGAGATTTATGGAATCATTTTTACAGCTTGAAGTATAAAAGCTTTATTCAGATACACAAAACTGTTTCCTATTTAATAATATGGTCGAAGCACTTTTTTAAATCTGAGTTATATACGTACAAATTAATCACCATCCTCTATAATTTACAACTAACTACTATTTCAATTTCCAATTTAAGCTTCTTTGGATAATAGAATATAACATATCAGTAAAATCTACAAAGACAAATAAACAGAACAAATCAGAAACCAGGTATAATTATAAAAGTTTTTTGAATTTAGTGTCTATTATTCTATTGATAAAAATTTCTGATAGTATATAGTGGAAATATACAACTTACCTCAAGACAAAAAGTTAAATAAACAGCTACAACAGTCCGCTGCCATAAATCACTAGTCTTACGTTTCATTGAATTTGTTATCAGCCAACCAACAGTTGTATAATCATCCCAATTTTGTTGTGGAATAACACGATTACCAGTAAATGATGATAATTCTTCTTTACTTATTGGATTTTCATCAATTTGACAAATTAATTTATTTAAGGAAATCTGAAATGAATATTTAATTTTCTTTAATTTATTCACTCTAGTAATTCGCTCAATATATATAGGGTAATACCATTTAATGGGATCACGAACCGATCTTAGATAGACCAGTATTGAAAACCGAGAATCATTATACGGCTGTATCGCTCATGTCGGGTGTGAGAGAGTTATTTAGAATAGATAGTGAAAGGTGATTCAGCAATATAGTGAACTGACTGAAACTAGACATTAACATCGTTGGATCCCGGTTCAGTGGTCTGGAAGTTAGGCGTTTGTGCGCGAGACCGAAGGTCCTAGGCTCGAGTCCTGGATGTTGAGTTGTGAATGAGCATTACTGAGAAGTGCTATACTGTTGCTTGGAGATTTTCAATGATGGTGTGGCTATGGTCGTTTCGTTATCCAAACTATTGAAAATTATAATGGTAATTGTTTTTGTATACTCAAAAACGTACAAAAATATTCTACATCGTAAACGACGTACGATATTTGTGTACAATGCAACCCACTATAAAATATACGTATCTGGTACTCCGTTTAATAACGAACAATCCTTAAACTGGTTCAGCTGAATATTAACGCATGCTAGTTAAAAATATAACTGATGTGAATGTCTCATAGAACTGAGACAATTAGTGGTAAAGAATATTTAAATAAAACTATGTCTGATGTTAATCAGTTCAAAGTCAGTCCTGAATATCAAAAATGGGATCATACAAATCTATACCAATACTGATACAAGCATTATACTCGGTGAACAAGCTATCATTTGTCTGGACTCAATAGATCAGTAGATAACACGCTTGTGTTCGAAGCGATATGTGCTGGGTTTGAATTTCAATGTGAACATTAACACTGAGAAAGTATATCTAGCTGATAACTCACAAATAGGACAAAACCCGAGTCCGGATTATTGAGATAATAAAATTTACTTGACAGATCATTGATAAGTATACAGTTTCTTAACAATCCCAGCTGGAACAATAAATAAATATATTATGGTAAAAGAACTATTCGAAACAGTGAATGAGAATGCATGGTTTATAACGAATTGACATCTATTTGTGACAGAGAAACACAATATATCAATTTACCTTGATTAATCTATTCAAAATGTTTGGAGCAGTTTTAGTTAAGAGAGCAAATGCAAGCCATGAAATATTCGGTCCACCAATTACATCATCATCAGATAATTTATCAATGAATGACTTTAATTTCTTTATTGATACTGTTAAGTCATTTGACGATTTACTACGTAATCGTTTCCAACCAGCATAGTCTTCTATAATCAGTCGATCAACAAGTCCACATTCGAAACGATGGCACGGTAAAGATAAATCAGTTGTCGACTCTAACGGCAATGATGTGTTAATATCAATCCATACTGGGTTCCAAGCTTCTTGTTCACACAGTTCACAACAAAAACCAACCTTCAAGAAAAGTACATCAAAACAGATAATAAAACTCTTATACAAGTATGAATTATTAGAACATGTTATTACAAACGAACACTGGCTATTGATTAACTACGTAGATTAAGAAACAGGTCTTATCATTTCATTTTGAAGCTTCTCAGATATACGAAGTTCGGATTTTCTGAACTGATACAATAAGGTTACTATCAAATTCCAACTGTGGACATATCACAATATATATCACTAAGTTCGAATACATAGAGAACTGGATTTAGATGGAACTAAAAGACAGTAATATATCATTCACTGAGTTCGAGATTCATTATTATATAAAAAAGAGTTCGTACTTACGATGACTAAAACAAAAAACAAACAACTTGTCTATGTTTGTTTGCTCCTCTACGGTTCTATGGATGAAGTCATGTAATTATAAAAAAAACTAGACGAACTCAATAAAAATATCACAAAACAAGCACTTTAAGTAGATGTACAAAAATAACTAAATAACTATCAAATCCCATTGATATAGGAATGTCCTGATTCGGTTTGGATGCCTAAACAGTATTCCAGCCCTCACACAAATCAAATGATTTGTGTAACGCATATAAATTTGAGTCGACCTTTTCTAACCCTGCCCCTTCTTGTGAAAGGCAGCATCGCTGTTATGCTGGTTGTCTGAAGAAAACACCCTACTGCCGTCACACCTCTGTACAGTTAGCAGTACGACTTCGCCTTCAGACATTGGGTTTGCTGCTTTTAGTCTTACCACTCTTCAGCCGACCTGTCTGGCATGGCAGGACCTGGAGGAACGATTGTTCCAGTCAGTATAGCTCGATTGGTTTATCACAATAGGCAAGACCGACCACCACGTCAAGGTATTAACAACGGTCAGGTGCCGATGTTTATGTGTTTAAATAAATAAATATAGGAATCTATGATCATAAAAACATAGTGTACCTATTTATCTACACATATTTAAAGAATTTCTAACCCAGAAGAGAACCATAGGGAATTATATTAAGACAATATTCGTATTAACAGCGTAGTAGGAGATATGATATCTAACACTCAACATATTGTGCCGGTTCGGTCACAGATTAAAAAGTGAAAATATTTTTAATGATGTAACGCCAATTGATGATTTATTGAAAAATATAAAGCTCGGGAAACAGTCGTTAGAAAATTATTACCATAGGGAGCTCGTGGAGATTGTTGAATTTCATAGTTCACATTAAGGTATGATCATAATTGAACAACCAATCAAGAGGAGGAAGCACCGGGGAGCTGGTTCATTTTGGTGTAATGAAGGAATACTTGGTGAGAGTAAATCAATGTATTGTCCCAAGCAAAATCACACATTGCATTTTTAAAATATGAAAACAATACATCGAATACATCATTTGCACATCTTCCTTGAAGTGTCCCTTACAAACTCTGTCATTCTTCCATTCCTGTTGTTACAAGAACTGCTTTTGCTTTTCCTTTTCTTCTCCTCATGTTCCTCTTTAGTCAGTAAGAATTCTACTTCCAATTCTTGGCACATACTATTTATATTTGTCCGTATAAGCAGCACACATCACACTAGTGTGGGACCTTTAAATACTGTCCATTGTTGGGGAGTATCATACTAGAACATGAAAGTTATTCCGTATTAGTTCGAGACACACTAAAAGTATAAACTATTGGATTCTTCCCTAAAAAAGTTAATGACGTTGGTGGAGAAATAGACAAGAAAATAATACGTTAATATAGAAAAAAGTCAAACAATTGATCACCTGAGTACAATTACGGCAGGGTATAGGATTGATACATCGTTTAGAGCAACGATAACAATTGAGTAATAATCTATTGTAATGAAGTCTACAAGAATATGGTTTATCCAGTATGAGAAGTTCACCTGAAAGAAAAGAATTGTTAGAAAGCTGTCAAGTTGAACTTGAAACAATCTGTTAACAGACTCGATTGAATAATAATAAAAGGCCTGAACTTACGCTTTTTTACGAGCATTAAAATAATGGAATTATAAATGACTAGGTTGTTGATATGGACAAAAATCGAATTTGAAATGTTTTAAACTCTTTGGGACATCCTCCAATCGCATAGGTTGTAAACGATTCCTGATCAAGATGAAGATTATCATATTGATTTTCATGTTCAAAATGTTGTACATTATTTAGCCGGAATTAATTAATGCTTCCGATCAATTGCTTTCTCTCTAGGTGTTCGTTTTTCGGGAGCTTTATGTCAGGAATTCGACCTCCTGGAAAGTTATCCGTCAACCAGACCGTATTACTGCTTATTATCCATAAATAAGCATTCTATTCACTATTTGACCAACCTAGCACATGTGCATTGTCATAAAACTTAAAAACTAAACTCGATAACAGCTCTGGATCTCAGGAGAATGAAGTTCAGCATGATTGTAGGTATGATTTGTGGAGGTTTGGTCTAGTGGTTATTATAATCGACTTTCAGTTAGGAGGTTGAGTGCTTGAACCTTGTCCCACTGCAGTTTAAGTAGCTAAAAAATATTATTATCGCTCTTGCAGAAGACGTGCTGTTTAAAGCTGAGTAAATAAAATTATGCTCATTACTTAAATACCCGAATGTATAAATTACTAGTAAATGTGAAGAATTCAAAAATCTAAGTCTCCTAGAAATCGATCCTCCACTCGTAGCAACTACAGTTATGTTAGTGAAAAAATCACTGATAAAAAGAGTATCATATATCAATATTGGTTGCTACACATTGAAATAATAGCTATGATTCAGGTAAACTATAGCAAATTATTTTTAGCTATAATGATGGCTATTTCAAACCAATAGATTTGTTTCGATGATCTAAATTGATATAAACAACGACGAAATGCAAGTTTTTGCAAATATTAATCGGGTTCAAATAAGTGCTATTTGAACACATAGGAAGACAAAAATCGAAAACTTAATAATTTGATCATAGAAAAAGCTGTTTAAAACTTTTGGATTCTTACTATTAGAATGACAACAATATCATTATTTCTATAGTTGAGCTAGACTTTTCATTAGAACTACAGGAATCGCATCTTGAAGTTAGCTACTATTGAGCACATGATAATTATTAACGAGTAATTACTTACGTCCAACCACTACCTATCTGGACAGATGTTTTCTGGTGCGGACTGGAAGAAAGCTAGGGGAGGTAAAAACGAAACGCAATAACAGTCCATGGACTATGGAAATGAGCAGTGTTGATATATGCACACTATACGGTCGGAGTCCATGCAATTATCGTAACAAGTAGCTGGAGACACTGTGTGACATAGCTCAAAAACATTCACAATGGAATAGATGTATTCACTCTTTATCTACTCTTAAACCTTGAGTTCAGAAATCTTCTTACACTAACTTCTATTTTTTCTATGCTTAATCTTATCTACTATTGCTGATACTATTAAAACTTAATGATTTTACCTAGCTATGTTAATGTGATGTGACAAGTGGAACAGATGAATTATATGCCAGGTTTAAAAATAATACAGTATACGAACCTGGCCGAATATTTTTTGTCGCTACAATATGCCAACCAAATTCATCATTATAATTTAATTTCACAGCTGGTGGATCTTGTAAATGAAGAGAACGAAGAATGTTTGGATGCAAATTATGATCTGTGATATTACTGCCATTATTAGGATTATTATAATTCTTTGTAATACTCGTTTGAGTGTTTTCATGCTTCCCTATTAACGATTTCGCCTCATGTACAAAGTACGGTATAACTGAATCATCAATCAATACTTCATTTTCTTTTATAGTTGAACAGTCTTTTATTCCCTTTTGCATCATTTCATTTAAATTATTTGGAATAGTTAAATTTTCAGATTTCATATATTCCATACAGTTATTGAATTCATTTAATGCTTCTTTAAAGAGTTTCAGCGAAATAAGACTTTGTGCACGACGTATAAATAGACGTGGACGACGATCTTTAGGGAAATTATACTTTTACAAAGAAAAAACAATAAAAATAGACAGCAATTGAAATATATATGACAAATCTTAAAAAGTACAATCACTGATTGATGATAAAACTAAAAGAATGACTAAAATAGGATAGAAAAAAGTATAGGGTAGAGAGAGACATTACTAACAAATCAATTACAGCAGTTATGATACTTATGAAAAATTATAGCCTAATTTAAACAGTATCAACCTTTTAGTTGAACGAGAGTGATGAAATAATTTTTTTACTGGATTTTAATTATTACTTTAGTGCAAAAAGAAAAAAAAACAGTGAATCATAACAATATTAACAGTGTAATCATATCAAAACATACATGTAATTCACAACACAAATAACAAGTAATTACAAAGTTTAGCATGATCACTTTGTATTTTTCTACCGTGAAAACACATAAAAGTTCTGTAAATCTAATCGTTAAAACAAATATGTATTTCATTAAAATATGTGAATAGAAATGAAGAGATAAATTGTAAAAGAAGCAATAGCAAAAGTTATTAATGAATCCAAGATATTTCAACAAATAAGTTTCACTATATAAACAATTATGCAAATCAATGCCGTGGTGATGTTTATCGATTGATTTGATCACATTCTATAAAGATTCTTCTTATCTTAGATTAATTTGTTCTATCTACCAGTAGAACTGATATGTTTATATGAAACTTTCTTTATTGAATTATTCAAGTTTAATGTAATGTAGCAACCTGTTTGTATTTCCAATAAATTTGTTAACCAGCTCCCAATATGACTTAATAAATCACTGATATGATTTGTTTTAGTTTACGAGCGAATTAACTGAGAAAGTTAACCATTTCACTTATCTTAGGAGTCTGCTCAACTTCAACAGGTAGGTAAGGGGAAAATCTCAGTATGGATACAAAAAGCTCGAGCAGTTTTTGTCAACATTCACCACCTACAACCTATTGAAAATTGTATGGAGTAGCATATCGTCTAATATTCATGAAGCCACTAACTTTTGGTTTGAATCGCATCATTGGATGCAGGATTTTAATAAGGCTATAAACAAATGTGCCATAGGTCGGAAATGGTCGTAGGAGTAAAAATGAACTAAAAATATTGAGAATAAGAAAAAGTGTGAAAACTTATCAACTCATCAAATTTAATATCTAAATGTTTAGGATAGTTAAGACACACATCACTTATCTTCGTACACTACAAACTTTAGTTTCTTACAGTAAAAGGAAGAGAATTTAAGTAGAGGAGCTTAAATTGTAATAAAGCCAGAACAAAGAAAGAATGAAACAAATTAAACTCTAAAGAAATAAAGAACCAACTATAGGATGTCAACAACTTACTAATTGTAATCTTGTAAAAGCTAGAAGTATAGAAACACAATGTACATTTATATTACAAAAAGATAGAATAACTAGCCTAAATCAAAATTAGAATGATTTAGTCATCGAAAATTTAGTCGCTAGACTGCAACTACATGAACATATATGCTGACATACACCATATAAGATAAAAATCAATAGTGAATAGGCTAATATTAAGTTGAAATGTTTCGCACACAATGCCTTGTTTGCTAAAGACTGTATCCTTAAGGAAGTAGTTACGTTTAGTTGCATATTCGTTAACTTTAAAATTTAGTATCACAAACATTTTATTTTGTGATTGGAATTTACAATACACCAGTACTAGAAAAAAGTTAGTGGGCAAAGAGAAGTGTAAACACTAAGTGTATGTTTTTTTCTATAACTTGGAAACTGTGAAAATACATTTCAGCGTCATCAGTTAATCTACGTTGGTTGAACATAGCAAGATGGCTAAAGATGCTTGGAGTCAATTTACTGAAATGTGTCTATAAGGTTTCGCAAATTTGCAGCATTGGAGAAACTAGTGTTCCACCAGTTATCGGAACCTACTTCACGTATATTTCTGCAAATGGGAACATAGCTAGCAAGTGCCGTATAACATAGGTCTAATCTTTCCTGAAAACTGACTTTATGTATCTGAATTACAAACCGTTACACAACCATACTGAATTATTTTATAAACTTAACATCAGATTATTAAAATCTAACTCGAATGAACTATTTCCAAAACATAGTAACTCGCGGTTCGGATTTGATATAAAATGATGTTATCTTTGGTCAGGAGCGTTTAAGGGCAAATCGCAAAAAAAAGAGAGAATAATGAAAGAATTTATTAACTAGGATTATCAGTGTTGATTACAGTGAAAGCTGCAAGGTTATTTATAAACATTATTTCAGTTGCCACGAGATATGAAAGTCTTGAGTTCGACCTCCGGTGTTGTTGTGGATGCTTACGCTGAGTGGTCTCATAGTTAGACGAAGCAACTATCCAATACGTTTCAATTTCTAGCGGTTATCTGATAGATCAGTCTGCGATGCAATCTGGGAAAACTGTTGAAGCAAATTAGAAGATTCGTATTATAAAACTTAGGTCTAAATCTTCCTAACTATTCCTTTCAATCACTTAACTTTGAAAATAATGCATCACAAAATCGGGTTCTTAGAGTAGTGAACACGCAACAAATTGGTTGACAAAACTGAATAAAAGCACAAACAATGTTATAACGCTCGGTATTACGTCGTCTTATGTTATAACGCTCAGCCGATTATATACACTAGATCCCTCCCAATGTCTATTCTACAGGACGTTAACACAACTCAGATCAAGAATATGTAATTAGCCTGACTAGAACGTGAATAGATTTCAACACCAAAGACAGACACAATCTACAACAATGACCAATCAATAGTAAGTGCGTGTCACAATAATAAGGATAAGGGAATATATAACTTATCTGACACCTGCCAGACTGTCTACATGTCTGACTAAGCAGACAACCAATCATGATCATCCTCGCCCACACATCAAAGGATAAATTAGACATGAAATTAGTTGCCACTGTGTGACCAAATATTATAAGCAGCATTCAGAAACAACTAACCTCAACCGCCAAGAGAGTAGTACTACGGTTAGACGTGTAGCGTTGGACAGATATGGCAAATTGACTTAGGAAGATAAAAGCCTTCATTGACTGAGATAGTTAGAATATCTGTTACACATATCTTCTGGTTTTATTGATCTCTCTTATCTGATGGGGCTGAAATGAGGTGTAACGACTTTAATAGATACACATCTGAGCGAGATTCTATGATGACTACGATTAACAATTATGTTCGACTGTCAAATATAATAACTTCCAGGATTTATATATATATATATTTATATATATATATATATATATATATATATATATATATATATATATATATATATGGTAAAGTAAATCCCCTTAGTAAACTGATAAGTAGGTATATAGTTACAAAATATAAGAACGTTTTTCTTTTTACAGAACAAAGTACAATACATATTTTCGGTTAGCTTAAAAGTCTACTAGTGTTCACTTATGTACCACTCGGTAATAGTGCACCACTTTTAGTTAACAGTGCACAATCTGAATACGATAAATGAATGCAAAAACTGGACAATCTCAATTTCACAGTAATTACAAAACATAAGTGTATACAAATATGCAGTAGGTTCTTTTTATATTTGAATATGAATTTAAACCAGTTACATAAAAATCCCTACTTTTTAATTGGGTTCATGAGTTTGACAGAATTTCATAAACTTACTTTAATAGCCAGATCAATATCTTGTATTACTGCTTCATGAACACCGATACGACTTAAAACACATGACCGATTACCATAGCCTAAAGCTTTTTCTTCAGAACTGCTGGCAAAGAAAATCGCTTCAGTGTAGTAACGAAGAGCTAGAGATAAATTATTAGTACGCCATGCTTTATTTCCATGTTCACGTTTTTGTTTAGCAATGGAATTATTTTTCACAGCTGATGATTGGTCAGAGACTAACAGAAAAAATAAGTAATTATACAATGAAGCAATATTATTTTAAGGCTGATAAATGATTTTAAAATATAGAATAGATGAATTTTGGCTAGCAGTGAAATGTAGAACACCCATTTTGTCTTATTTTGGACCCGGATAGAACGAAACATGTGGCAAAATGTCTATATTTAGGCAAACGGTACAGGATACACAAACGCTAACGAAGACTGATCTAACTGAAGTTCTAAATAACAACAATAAGATCATTTAAACTCTTGTTAACAACAATATAACTTAAAAATACTTCTTATCATGGACTGATACTAATTAAGAGATCTTAATAGATAAGGAAACACTGAATAATTGTTTTGTTCAGTATTGGATTTTTCAGTCATACTGAAACGTATCAGAATTCTTTAAAAAAACTAAATATTCTGTTCACTTTGTTGCTTTTACTTTGTTCAAACTAATGACAAGAGATTTTATAAAATGAAAATAGTATTGTATAACGCACCACAATATGAGCGGCTGATAAAAAGGGTGTACATTCTACTTATCATTCACTAAACTTTAAGTGTAGTTCGGGATTTGGTCAGTCAGTCAGTAGCAACGTGGAACTTCGTACGTACGTACATCAGTCCAAATTGCCATACCACATTAGCACACAGATACAATTGTCGACTCAAATCCCATAGTAGTATAAGAAGTAATCGGAAAGATTAGGGTTTGGAGATATTATTCAAGGAGTATAATCCAGCGAAATACTTTTAGAAAGAAAACAAAGGATATGAAGAATTCAGAAAATTAGAATTTGGGTGAACACAAGGAGTGGATGCACCTGTGCCATTGCAAATGATTTTGAGCCATGTCATTCAGGGTCTCTAACCATCGGTTGCTATTATCTCGCGGATCCCAACCAGATAGTCTATACCTACCAACATGGCTCAATCCACTTGTCAGTGACTTCATGGATTTGTGCCATGTTTTGGTCTGGTCGCCCCTAGCTTTCTTACAACCTACTACACCATATAACATCGCACGTCGGGGCAGTCGGTGGTTGGGTATATGTAACACGAGTCCCAGCCATATCAACTGATGAAGTTTCACTACTTCACCAATTGACTTGCCATCCTTACCTAGTAACCTTTTCCTAACAACTGCATTACCTACCCGGTGGTCCCAGGATATACGAGCAATGTTTCGAAGATACCTATGATCAAATACTAGTAACCTACGAATATCCTCTACTCTTACCGGCCATGTTTTGGTAGAAAATCACTTTTTGTTTCATCGTATATATCAAATAAGCTTCGAATGAGCTTGAAAACAAGCATAAGATGAGGTCTAACTATTCCTAAATTAAAATCTAAAAATGTTCATGAATGTTGAGAGTTATGGAAAACGCAACGTTGGTGTTTTGAATCATCAACATCCATCATCCTGAACGACAGAAATGTACTTGGTAGTTACAAACATACGAAATTCTTACATAACCACTTGTAAAATAAAGATCATTTACTTGAGATTTTAAATTGTCTAAGAAATGGCATTGACATAAACTTCTTGATACGTTCATAGTCTGTTTTACAATCTTCAAACCCAGGAAGCCAAGGTAGATCATACGAGGGTGGGCTCATCTCTACAACTGACTCCATGACAAGATCACAAAATCGATATAAGTCTGTTGGATTCGGAGCAACCATTTTGTCTACAAAACAAAGTATACTATTATTTGGTGACATTGAAAAACAAGTAAAATAGTATCGTAGGAAATTTTGCCTTATACTAGTTATTTACGAACATAGTTATGCATACATATTTATTTATTTAAACACATAAACATTGGTACAAGAAGGCATAAAACAGACGCAGTCCCATGGTATCCGGTGACCAACAACTGGTTCATACGCCATTTGATCCCTAAGGGTATTGGAACCCATGTGCACCATTGGTTTGGAATCAGGATTTTCCAACTCCCCTAGGTGGATCCTCCATATCCATCAACCCGCTTAAAGTGCCGAACATTCGCATTTCGTCCTCTCGATTTCGTAAACAACAGTAATGCCGCGAGAAGGCAGTGAGTACGACTCCCCAGGAAGTGGTTGTATACTCATGGCAAGCGAGAGCATTTCGAGAGGGAGAGATGACTCTCCTCACACTCTGCCGTACCAGGGCATTTGGGATATATATATATATATATATATATATATATATATATATATATATATATATATATATATATATATATATATATATATAAGTACACTTAAGTTAATACTTGATCAAATACATTTAAATAGATTAACCAGCCAAAAAGCTTACGGTAAGACATTGATTACATGTAACATGGAGTGCCAAAAGGTAGCATCGTTATTTTAGAGTAGGTAAGTGGTCATTGGTGAAACATATTTATATTGTTTCAAACAATAGCAAAAAGTCATCATTTCAGGAACGCTGACGGTCACCAGTGAGGCGTGATTACAATCTCAAAAGTGTTTCGCTTTGTGTTTCAAGAGTTTCAAAGAATGCATGATAACTTTAGACTAATCAGCTTGTAATCTCAGGGTATTCACTAGAAATATTGGGAAACATAGACTACTAATATAGCGTAAACCGAGGTAGGTTCGGATCTGTTAATATTTTGTGATATCAAAAGCAAAACCTACTGGTGTCTCATGGTTGAGAAAGATATGCCAGTTACAAGGGCTCCTTAACAACCACCTCCCAAAATCCAAAACAATAGCTTTGAAATAACTGGTAGAAAATGTAGATCGTACGTTTCTAATTTGGCTATCAAGGAGTCAGTGAGTTTTAATATTTGTCACTAGCATTTGTATATATTCAGAACTTGAACTATCAATAACAAATTTTATAAAAAATGCGGAATATTGATTTAATATTTATTATGCTTAAATTTGTAAAAGTCTTAGTCTGCTTTGTATGGCTTAACGTTTTCTGTTTTATCCATTTAGAGTTGCAAAGATAAACCAGTTCAGATATAAATTATAAGTATGGGAAATAGTGAATGCTATTTCAACCAAATGATGCGACTATGTAAACATTGATTTCAACTCAATTGAATAAAACAAATATATGCCAGTATCAATCACATTAGATTTACAATTGTGTATCGCTATTTGGAAATCCAACAGTTTTTTAACCAGATAGTTCGCTTACGAGCAGAAGCAGGCAAAACCGTCGTCTTTACAGACGTTTCAGGGTGGTTGCTGTGGAGATAAAGTAGGATAAGCTAGAAAATTCTCAGATGGATGTTCAATACCCAGACACGGTTATTGGAGAACTAGATAAAATTGAAGTTTGTAACAACAAGTAACTCAGTTAAGATAGTATACAACTTTTAAAAAGTAGCTTACATAATGTAATTAACATTCATTAGGAAATAATTTTACAACCAGTTGCTTCTAAAAAGTTGGTTACCATCATAATGTACTGACTGGAAAATATGTGAATGGTGGGGTTGGATGTAGTTACATGGGTTTTGTTCAGACTAGGAATACATTGATGCCAAGTTGAGAAAGATGTTCGGGCACCATCACATGTACTGCATGAGAACAATGACTAATTTCATACATGAATGTAATCCTTACTTTGAAACCTTTATAAGGAAACAAGTTAGACAAAATAAGGTGATACAACCAATCCTTCTTCTTTTTACTGTTCTAAACCGAGAGTAGATTGATCACAGGGTTACCAACTCTTTCGGTCTCTATTTAACTTCACTAACAATAACATTCTACAAGCATGAACTTAGAAAGTTGTGTAGTAGTAATGAAAACTATGATAGGACTTAATGGAAACTACTTAATATAATAACCTGGAATATTTATTGTTCACACTAAACGTGTGAATAAAAACAGATAAACACAAATAAACGCGTAAAATTTCCTACAAGTAAGGTTCATTAAATACACAATAATTCCTTTAGAATAGCACTTTATTCACATTTATTCCTAAGTACACAAACATATATATACACTCAAAAATAAAGTTACGAAATATTATCTGATTCCACATTTAATTTAAATACATATATGAAAGGCTCACAAACACAGAGAGAAACAAAATTTCAAATTTAATTGAGCATAAAGCTGGAAATGCAAAATATTAAGTGAAGAACTACAAAAAATTTGATGGTAAAGTAAAAGACAGAGATAAAAGGAAATATAATGGAATCTAGTTAAGTAATACATCCAGATGACATTGAACTGGTAGGGCTACCATTACTACCATCAACGCCTATGGTACTATTATTAACTATTGTAGAAGTATTATCAGTAGCTGTCGATGTACTTGAAGCAACTTTAGCGTCCAAATAGAAAAGAATGTAAGCTGTATAAGAAGATTTCGAGGTTTCCGTAGACGAACCAAAAAAGTCTTCAATATTGGTGCGATGGATTTTCTAGACGGAAAAGGAGTACCAGATTATTATACAGAATTAAGATTTTAATTATATGCGTACACTTATGGTTTTAAAAGAAATATAAAAAGTAATTACACTTGTATACAGTATTATGAGTTGTGCTAATCTACGAGGGCTAAGAAACTACAACAATTTATTACATTTTATCACATGGAATGAAATTTGAAAGCGCAACCCGATGAGTGGCATATGAATAACTGGTCCAAAGAATAACAGATCCCATAAAGAAAGAAAATGCAAGCCAATTACCACATGAAGTTGGAACACTAGACCAAGAATGATATTTACGATGGACAGGAAATATCATCTGGCTTGTAAAAATAAAAAAGATGGAATGGATGTGAAACCATTACTTAAAAAAGAGATAATTGGCGAGTGTTGGATGAATTTATTTTATTTTATTTGAACACATAAATAAAGGTACAAGAGGGCACCAAATATATATGCGCCACAAAAAACAATCAGAATGGGAAGAGAAAAAAAGAAGGTAAGGAGCGTAAAAGAAAAAAAGAAGAGCAATAACGACCAGACTAATGTAAGGTAGTGTAATTTATTATTATTATTATTATTATTATTATTATTATTATCAATAATAATAATAATAATAAATTACACTACCTTACCTTCTTTTTATCTCTTCCCATTCTGATTGTTTCGTGTGGCGCGTATATAATAATAATAATAATAATAATAATAATAATAATAATAATAATAATAATAATAATAATGGGGATGGGAAGGTACAACTAGAAGAAATCTTTCAGTTAAGGAAGAAGCAACCACTTTTTATGAAGTGAAAGAAGGTTACAGCAGGATCGCGACTGGCTTCTATTCTGAGTCATATCTGATAACGTCTCTAGCCACTGTGTTGCACCATCTCTCGGACCCCAGCCAGCCAACCCTTTTCAGCTTTCTTTCAAACCACTTTGGATGAAAAGAAAATACTTACGTGTGAATGAGTCACCGAGCAGTAAATATTCAGGTTAACTGTGGAGTTTAAAGTGGAAAAGGTAGGTAACTCGGGTGCAGAAAACATAACACCAAATTCAACCCTATGAGATACAAATCTTCATTAACACGAAATCTGATAAGATAATTAAATTGAATCTATTTTGTCCATAAAATACTAGGATACCCGGCAAAATCACTGGTCAACAAGTGATGGGATCGAACGGTAAAAAGATATGAAATTAAACCATGAAAACACCAAGTCGTGTACGGAATTTAGAGTTCCTCTTAAAAGGATTTGTATGCTGGAATTAGGCATTAGAAGTATTGGTTTTGTATTTAGAAAACTAGAATTTTAAACATTGGGTCACTGTTTCCAGCTGTGATCCACCTTTTTGATGTGGCATATGAATATCACAAGTACCCAAATAGTTAGTGAGGTAATTAGGAAATCGTGAACGATGTAACCTAAACAGCGACCTGACGGTACGGATCTCTTTTCCTAGACTTTTGATTTATAACGTCATGGGCTATTTTTCTTCTAGGGATGGTATCGATCACCCTATAAACCAGAAAGCCTGATTGGACAAAAAAATTCGCTCGAAGCTAGTTATAGCATTAAAAAATTGGAACATGAAACTTACTTCAACTAGTTCGTCATCAAACAAAAACCATAGTCCATGAGACTTCACAAGTGTTACATAATGTCCACGATTTGGTCCAGAGCCTGAGTGAACGACAACAGCCATAAGATTATATAGGCGATCATCATTAGATGAGTCACTAGACTGTTAGTGAAAACAAGTAAGCGTAAGAAAACCGACTAAGTCATCAATACATGTGAGGAATAAAAAACGATTTATACATTATGAAGCCTACGAACAGTTTGTGAACTCTAAAGTTTACACTTCATCGTGCTTGTGTGATACGGAAGCTTGGATCGACTCACATTTGTGTTACGTCCTAAGTCGATCATCACTGACCAACGTGGCTAAACTGTTCCTAAACAAAGCAGTTATAAATCATTAGGTTAGTGATCCCATGTTGTTCCGACCAAAGATAATGAAGCGTGGAACTGTGGTATTTTCAAACACGATACTATATAAATGTAGATTGATCATCGTTTACCAGTGGAAATTTGTGAAAGCAACTACATAAAAATCACAACAAACACAAAGCTTGAGCGAAACTAACCGTATTGAATAGTCTTAATTCCATAGGGAAGGCGACTCTGTAGGACAACTTGATAAACCGATTGAGATTTTCCGAATACTTGAATCGCTTTAGATGTAGGGCCAGAAGTAAAGGTGGCTTTTTAATGCGCATCCTATGAAAGATAACAAATCTGGTTGATAGTGGTGAAAATCACAAAGATAAATCAACCTAGGAGTGGTAACTTTTAACGATACTCATTTAGTAAAAAGAAACCCAAAAATTACTAGGGACGACAAGCTGGGAGCTCTCAATCTCACTAGGTCTCCAAAACTTTTTTTATTTTTTATTTAAACACAGATATTGGTACAAGAAGGCACCAACTACATATGCGCCACACAATTCTCATTTAATTTGTGTGAGGGCTGTGATACTACCCGGGTGCCCAAACCGAAGCAGGTGGTTTTCTTAGGGGACCACACCCCGAGTCTTCGACCTGAACGTCTGACCCACAAGGCAGTGGAGCATCGTAAGGAGATTCAGTCCCATGGTAGCCGGTGACCAACGATTGGTTCACACGCCATTTGTTCCTTCAGGATACTGGAGCCCATGTGCACCATTGGTTTAGGGTCCGGTTAAAGCGCCGGACATTCGCTTTTCGTCCTCTCATTTTCGTAAACAACACCCCCGCCACGAGAAGGCAGTGAGTAGGACTTCCCTGACAGAGGCTATATACGCGTGACCGTGTGAGAGTATTTCGAGAGGGAAGGCGGACTCTCCCCACTCTCGACCGTACCAGGGTGTTTGGGGGCCTCCAAAACTTTAATCTATGAAGAATCCGAACGGTATCCAGAGGTATGGTTTCTGATTGCTGAGGAATCTCTATGCTAATAACATTTCAGAGGTGGTTGCAATTCCATTTAGATTTTGCCCTAGTTGAACACGTGACGGCTGCGAATAAATCCACTTGTAGGTAGTTGGTCATAGCTTATGCAATAAGTATTTATAAGCTTTTGTATCCCACTTGAAATAAAAACACCTTAATTTTGTGTACTGAGTTTTCTAGAGAAAACTAAGTTGAGCGAAACCCTCGTTATCTTTCAATACCAAACGATGTAATGCACGAGTCCAATGTGTAACGTGTATCTCGAAACCGAAGGCGCTCGTAAGACAACATGGATTACGTAATGTCACTTAGTTACCAAGCTCTGGTATTAGCAACACATGCTGTAATCTTTGACAACAGAAACAACGACTAAATTTGGATGAACTTTCCAACGGCTCGTATCCAACTTTACTAATTAGACGTACGGAGTGAGCAGGTATGTTGACTTAATTAAAGTTATGTAAACCAATGTTTGTAAAGGAATCACACAAAAACTCACCGTCTCTGAGCTTCTTGCTTGCAACGACAAAATTCACAGTAGTACTTATTGTCTGAACGCATTGTTTCAGTATCGGAAAAGCAACGGAGACAATAAGATATATCAACATTTTCTCCGACATCAACTGATAGATCGAGGAAATTTTCCTCTTTCGTGCGAACATTGTCACAGTTAAGGCACCTAGTTTCATTGGTTAAGCTTCCTTGAAAGATCTCATGAATCCAATTACGACCACCATGCTTTCTATTACTTTCTGAAACATCAGTCATTTCACAATCACTAGGTTCTTCAGCATCTTCTACTCCGGTTGGTTGTTGTTCGGCTAAAAAGTTGGTTTGTGATACGTTGATTACCTCTTATTATGTCAGCTATTTTGTTGAGAAGATAATTAAGAAACTCATGAGCATCCTGTTGTAGATAGTTATCAAATAATCCTTAAGTAGGAGTGAGGTGTAAGAATAGAC